TCTTAGAACTTCCTCGCTTTTCTCCCACTTTTCTAATCGCAAAGGAAGGAGGAAAGAAGTAGAATCCACCGAGAGCTCCCGCTTCCAGTCCTTTTTTTCCTTCCTTCGCGTCCTACAATGGCTAGACAAAAGGGGGAACAAGTACTGAAAGTATTTCACGATCCGCGAGCCATGTTCGAACGAACATGGTAGTGACGAACACAACGTAGTTCCCGTTCGTTTGTACGCGGTAGGAGAATTTTTCCCAAATAATATTCCGTTCCATACGATATTTTCGACCGTCATCGTCGTAATACAAACAAAATCAGAAAACAATTTGATTTCTTATACATATAACTGTAATTTACTCGATATTCTCGGTCGGAACAAATATATTTGTTCTTTGACGTTGCAAAGCGCATTCGTACAGGTACACGATATCCTTGCCCGAAATAGAAAATATAGTTGAACGATACGGATAAAAGACAACAGTTTTTCCCCTCGATCCTAAATCTTCTTCTCGGATTAATTATCTTGGAATAATTATCCTAGAAAACATACCGATAAGGACATTTTCGATAACAAATAACACCTTTGTTTTTCAAAGATCCACCTATATTTGTTCCACCAAGGACATGCTTGTAGTTCGGAAAAACTGGTGAAAAACGTAAACAATCAAAATGTTTCCTATGTATACCTGTAATTAATACCATACCACTGCACCGTATAGAGAACAATCGTAGTAATCGATCGCCGATCCACCAATGTAGCCAAGGAAAACACCGTCGAAAGAAAAGAAAACAAAACGATATTGCTGTTACAGACATTTTGTCGAATTAGCTTTGTTTTTCCTCGTTATCGAAGTTACACGATACTACCGATCAAAAACAATTGTCAATCATTTCGCGTTTCTCTCCAATTTTTCTTTCTTTTATCCTTTTTGTTACGAGAAACGGAAACAGAGATATGGTCGCACTTTGTAACCAATAAAGTTTACGATATATACAACAAACAATGAGATATATATATATATATATATTTCCTTCAATTGAATTACAATTCTGGGAATCTTCGATGTGTAAGTACCTCTCTCCATTTTTTTTCCTGATACACCCCGAACGATACTGCATCGCAATCATTCCGGGACGAAAAGTTTCACTCTCCTGATCCTTATTTTTTTATTTTATCCGACATCTCATCCGACAATCGGATCTACCCTGAAGTCGTCGCTAACAGACACGATCGTAACTACGCGAGATCGAGCGATTGGCCGATTGATAAATAACAAACGGAAACATCTTCCTTGGTACCCTGCTGCGCAGTATACATATCTGGTAGGGGCTATATTTTGGTTTGCCGCTCTTCGTAATTGATATCGCAATCAGCACAGAGATCACCGACGGCACCGGAATCATGGACATCACGGACACGACACCGCCCGACATCAACGTACAGTCCCAGAATCGTCGCACCGTGCAGCATGGGCCATAAAAACAAATCAAACGGTGAACTTAAATTTTTTTTTCTTTTTTTTAATAAATTACGTTGTAATTCAACTGTATATTATTATACAATATTGTAAACTTTAATCGTTATATTACAATTTCGTATCACATTGTTTGTTTCTTATTCAATTTGCACACAACTTGCACACGATCCAACGAAACACATTTTGAAGAGAAAGAATGTTCCAATTGCATCCTTTGCAACTATTCAGTTACATGCGACTACGAATCTCTGTTGTTTAACAAATGTTCTGTAACTATAATTTACATCGCTCGTATTTCAAACGAAAATCAACAAGAAGTAACGTCGTTATAACACCACGATCGCGAATTATCTGACCGAAATGATCTGTGCACAACATCTAATTAATCTATTCGTTCGAATCGCCGCAAATCTACTTCAAGTATTTTCTTTCATAAGCTGATCGATCTGTGTTTTGTAGACGTCTTTGACATCTTGAAGGTCTAAACGCAACTCTTCGTTCTCTTCCATTTTTTCACCGCACATTTGCAGCAACGCATCATATCTTGTTTGTATATCTTGCAAGTTCGCATTCAAAACTGTGATATGTGAAACCTTGTTGTTCAAGTCTTCAATTTTTAAGGTCAACATAGACAGTTCGGTGTTCAGCGCGTCTCTTTCTACATTTCGCCGCGACAATTCCCACTGAAGCTGTTGTATCTCTCCTGAAATATAACCGTGTCTAAATCAAATTGCTGCGACTCACGGGGTATAGAGAGGGATGTTGTGGCAATAATGGACGTTTGAAACCTACCATCTTTTTGTTTCAGTTGCGCTTGCAAGTTCTCGAATACAGACGTACTACTAGATCCTGCTCTGAGACAGTCGTACGCCATCGCAAATCTCTCGGTGTTCTCGTCATCACCACCGACATCGAACAACTAAAAATTGTCAAGCAATTCAGCGTAATGCAACTTTTCAAACATGACAGAGTTCTCTTATTCGTTTCAGTATCGTATTACCGGCCAAATAAAGTCTGTCGCCTTTGGAGAGATTTGTAGATTTACGGTTTCGTTGGTAGGATTATGCGGATTCTGGGGTTCTTCTCGGTCAATATTTCGTCTTTGCTCCGAAATGGCGTAATTCTTTCTTTTCTCCGCGTCCGTGGCTGCTTTTTCTACAGCCAACTTGTTTTCTAATGCCACTATCTCCCGATTGAGCTCCATTATTTGCGACGAGTGCGACTGTTCGAGCGTTTCTATCGTCCGTCGATGCCTAGAAATATGAAACCGATTCAGAAAACCAGCGAATTTATCCCAATTCACGTGATTTAACCAAGAAGAGAACGATCTTTCAAATTTCCATACCGGACCGTCTCTTCCATCAGCCTCTCTTTCTCTATCGTTAATTCATCGTACAATTCCTGCAATCGCGACACCTCGTCCTCCTTGACAACGAGTTTCGATTCCAATTGAGATAATTTTGAGTTCAAGTTAACAGATTCTTCTTTCAAATAGCGATTCGTTTCGACCAATTGCTCCACTTTTGTCTGCAGCTCGATGTTCTTCTCCGATAACGCTTTTTCCTGCTTCATGAAATTGTTGCACTTTTGCGATAGATTCGTATGAAGTTGTTCCAACTGCCTCACCAGAGGTTTCGTGGCCATCGAAACCGATTCCGATAATTCTTCGCTTCTGGCTTCGGCTGTCTCTAAGCGTTTCAATAGCTCGTTGTTTTCATGCTTGAGAAACTCTTCTTTCCTAAACGAGGGACACAATTACGTTTTCAACCAGAGACAGATATTGTCTCTGCTTAGAGATTAGAGTAGATATTTACTTGGCATGCATTTCCTTCGATTCGCGTAATCTCAATGTCAACTCTTCGATTTGCGCGAGTAGTTGACACGATTCTCCTGCGTTATTAGTAGCATCTTTCAGTTCGGCTTCCGTCGCCAGCAACAATTTCTTCGTTTCGATCAGATCCCTAAAATACAACAGACGTTGATTAATCGTGCCAACACTTCGATACAAAGCATATTGTAGTGAAACAATTGAATTCAGTCCGAATTGAAACACAATATTTTCGTCACTGACATTTTTGTTGCGTCTAAGCTCGTTTTGTAGGCATCCATCTTATGCAAAGTGGTATCTAATTTCTCTTGTAGAGCTAATATATCTTTTTCTTGTTTCCTAGTTTTTGCTGTCAGTGTATGAACAGCCTCTATCTGAGTTCTCTCGACTTCTTCTTTCGCGTGCAACGACTTCTTTAAACGTTCCATCTCCGACGTTTGCTCATCTATTAACTGCCTGTGGACATTCAATACCTAAGTATAATTACACAAACTATCGTATAAACACATTTTCTTTTTCACGTTTCCGTGTCCCTTTTACTACATACTTTTGATTCTTTATTAACGCGTCGCTCTCCTTCTCCTTGATTCGTAACTTTTTAATAATGTTACTATGCTGAAGCTGCTGCTTACTCAATTTGTCTCCTTCTTCCCTAAGCTCTTTAATGATTTCATCTTTTTCTGCGCTCAACGTGTACATTTCTTGAGACGACAAACGCGTGGCTGCTTCCATTTTCAATTGTTCTAAATTTTTCCGCAACGAGTCGCGTTCTCGTATCGCCTGTTGAAATTTTCTTTCCAACGCAGACAACCGTTGAGTGTATTCGTCAGCAATTTGATTCAAGTTCTGACTTTGTTCCGCGTATTTCTCGAAATTGTCGAGCTGTCTGTAAAACGGTGAATTCATCGATATAAATAGGAACTCCTAAAACCTACGAAGACTTTTCAAAGGTACAACAGGACGAAACTCATAGAAATACTTTTTTAAATTGCTATTCTGTTCGTGCAATTCCATGTTCATTCTGCTGACATCGATGAGTTTTGATTCTCTGGCCTCTAATATTTCCGTCATCTCCTGCATGCGTTTTAACAACGTTTCTATCTCGAGATTCGCTTCATCCGATCCTATGCTAATTTCACTTAATTCCCTGGAATGTCCTCTAGATTTTAAGGTCTTGGTCAAGAGATCGCTGCCCTTTGCCGATTGTGATCTCGTCAAACTCTGACGTGATTGCGTCGAACTGGAATCACCGTTTGGACTATCCGAACAAACAAACGAACAAACAAATTTCTCTTATCAAATTTTCATCGCACGGTCTTAATCGCAACAATGGCTTGCCACCACTATTGTTATTGCTGTTTCTGTAGTTATTACTAATGCTACCACTACCTACTGCTTATATGTATACTACTACAGCTTATATGTATCGAATAATATACATGTATAGGTGCATCGGAATCATACCTATACCTGGATATGATTTCGATATCACTGGATGTTGTTGTTTCCAACTCGTCCCCGCTGGTATGACCGCTGGTTTGATCCGAACCGATTTTAACCAAATCAGATCGACTGAAACAAAGGAACTGCAATCATTCTTAGGCAAGACTTTTCGCTATCGCATTAGTATCGACAGCGACGATAATATCGGCTCAAGATACCTTTCCGAGGAAACAGGTGAATTCTCCCGAGGCATGTCTGAACTCTGCCCTTCCATTTCCACGATCTCGCCGACCTTTTCGGTCATCGCATCTGCTAACATTGTTTTTACATAAGAGCTAGCCGTTAGGGGTGGCTCCGTCGTCTTCCCCTCCGATTTATGAATCAGCGTCGCATTGTCCTCTGAATTGCTTTCGATCAAGGTTCCTTCGCAACTCGAATCCATCGACATTAAATGATGATCCACTATATCCATCGTGTCGGATTTTAACGAATACGGCTGCGTAACTTCTGCAATGCCGGAGTAACGTTCGGATTCTTCCTGGCCTGACACCGGTGCCAATATCAATTCCCGCTTCGGCTCCGTTTCTGGCTCTGGGTCTGGTTCCGCTGGCTCTATAGTCGTATTTAGCAGCAGATCGATACTCTTCCTATCAGTTTCTATCTTTTTGCTGGTCAAAACTCCATCGATACTCGTATACGTTTGATCCGTTGATTTACGGATAGGTTGAGTAGTGATCGCTTCGATCGGCAAATGTAGATTGTGTTTCTCTTTAACGGTATCCAAATTCGAACTAGAATGCGTTTCCATACAAGGTTTCATCGAAACTTGCTTGATCATCAAAGTTTCGAATACAGTCGCGACAGTACTCTCCGAGGCAGAAGTATAGGAATCCTCGGCTAAACTCGGCTCGTCAGGATCATCCGGATACCCTGACGTTTCCATGCATTCTAACGGATAGGTTTTCAAATTTTGCCCAATCGACGACGACGTTAGTTTGCCTCCGTGTGCATATGGCCCAAGCTCTACGTAACTCTGAGTAGGGTAGGTGCTGGCCGATACCAACAGCGATGCCGACAGCGATGGCGACAACAACGGCGACGGAGTACTCTCCATACTCGCACATAAATCATTCCGAGGCGTCTTGGATTCCTCCATTGGAGATTCATGCAGAGAAACATCGGAAGACGACAGGTAGTTCGGACTCCTATCATTGGTTGGAATCTGTTCGATATTACCATCTTCCCAGCAAGGTGTCGCCAAGTCGTGTTTATCCAGCGCAGAAGATATTTCGGAATGCAACGGATCTACCGGAGATAGATAAGGACTACTATCGCTTTTCCAATCTCCCAAAATTTCCACGGAACTCGGAGATGTAACTAAACTGTCCGGCAATATTTCCACAGATTCCGAATTCAGCTTGGTACCTACAACGGAGGGGCTCGCCGAGTTATCGATAGAATTACAATCAGATTCTGGAGTGGTAGTACAATCGGTGGATGATCGAGATCCCAGAATTTCAACACTATCAACACTTCTTTTATCAGTTTCCAACGAAGCCGAGGAAATTTTATTTACTTCGTTGACCTCGGTCTTTAATATCTGTCGACACACATTTCTCTGCTCAGTTTCCGAACTAGTAGTATTGCCATTCGCAACGATGTTATCCTCGTTCGATGAATATCCTGCGGAGCATAATTCTTCCTTGCCCCTGCCAGCCACGAGCTCCACAGTTTCATCGTCCATGCCGGATACTACGTTCTCTGTTTCGTCTGTATTCGACGGTATCGATACGTCGAATGCTGGTCGGATCTCATCTTTCTCCATAGTCCTCTCGGACCAATTCCAACCTTTGCTCGTACGATCCTCTGAAAATGATAGCGACGGCGTAAGTCCGGTGCTTCGCTCATCCTCCATAAATGTGTTTTGCAAAGACTTGGATTGCGTTATTTGCTTCCGATCGTGTCCTTCTTCCCTATACTTTGGAGATTCAAAGAAAGATCCGCTGAAACTACCCCATATGCTATTGCTCGCTTCTTGTTTGATTTTCTTATTTTTGTCAATCGGAACAACATCTTCGTTGCTCTTCAATCCCCAAGATGCAAAGAAGTCTGCCCCATCTTCCGCACGACGTTCCAAAACCAATTTTTGCTCAACTTCCTCTTCGTCTTCCTTAATATCCAATGCTTTGTCGATTGTTTTTTGAGCTTCTTTTAATGCAGATTTGGCCAAATTGGCAAATCCAGTGGCATCAAACCAACTCATTCTTTGCAATATCTAAGACTGAATGAAAAATCTATTAGTTTGATCATGAAGAATCGAACAGTTTCTCCAAGAAACTAACTTACGTTGCATATTAATAGTATATCAATGTTAATGAAAAGAGCATTCGTTTAAGAATGCAATATATGTTTGGGGTACTTGGAGGTTAGCACAAGGAAGAACCAACGATATCAATGATTGCGTTCGATAAAACTCTACGTTGCTAAACATAATCTTCCGAAGATTATAAATCTTTTCAGAAAATTATCTGCGAGAAAACTGAAAAGAAAAGGTCAGACGAATAAAACAGTGGGGATGACATTCGCTGCATTCGTGTCTCCTACACTACGATCACAACAAGGCAGCTGGAATACATTGTTCTTTTCAACTGACAGCATGTAATCTTATACATATTCGTATCTACATAAAAATATATATATATATATATATATATATATATATATATACATATATATGTGTATACATATATACATACAATTA